GTAGACGTTCACAAAATATGGAACTACAAAATTATTCAAAGTGAAATAAATATCTCAGCAGGCAATTATCAAGTCACACAAGCTTTTACAAAATCTGACACCAGAGACAAATCAATAAAAATGTGAATGAAAAATCTGCTACAACTTTAAAATAATATTCTAGTACCAATTTTAGGAGCATAAGTGCTGTTACGACAGACGGCGATTTAATCATCCCTTCTTTCAAAGGAAATGCGGAACTGTTATTTGTCAAAATGTTTTATTCAAGTTTATACTAAATCCTCACAACAACAAGAAGTTGTTGATTACTATTCCACAAGTTTTTTTTTATGTATTAAAAAACCCTCTTAAATATCTCTTAGAACCCTCAAAAAAAAAATGTCCTTATCATGAGTAAGTCCTATTTTTTTTTTTTATAACTTTATATTTGGTTTAATTTATTTATCCATTTGAATTCCTTCTCCTAGTTACAAAGCTGCCTAATGAATTTTACCTAAATTATTTTTATTAACGCTTTGTAATTAATACATAAGTACAATCGTGTACATTTAAAATAAAAAAAACAAAACCAACCTATAACTTAATCAACACAAATAAATCAAAAATGATTTTTAAAAAAATTTAAAACTCTTTATTCCCCTTTCTTATTGATATGCCGTTCCTTTGTAAAATTATAATTTGTAATTATAAACACACAAAAATGAATAAATAACTAAATAAATATAAATCACAAAGGACCCCGCCCTTTTCTAATGGCAAAGTGGCGTTCCGTCAAATGTAATAAATTTTTAATATTATGTTGTACTTGACTTGTTGACCAAAAGTGTTTATGGGACCAATTCAATCCTATGACTAGTTTTTAAAATAATGGGTGTTAAAGTCGAGAAATCGTATTTCTTGAAACTACGTAACTTAATTAAAAAGAAAAAATATAAGCATTTTTAGTTGATTGTAGCATTAATATGTCCTAGTCTAACGCAAACATACACATAAATAGTTTAATATGTAAACATATACAGGGTGGAACTCAGTTACAGCAGGGGGAATTTTTGAAATTCTGAGAGATTCTGATATGGAATGAAAACATGGTCAAAAATAAAAACTTACATAATGTTTACTGTTCTGACATTATATAAACCCATTTTACATTATATGTATACATGGTGATTGTTAATTCATTCCACAGAAAGAAGTTTCTTAAAAAAAAATTACACTCTATATTAGGCAATTTGTTATTAATATTGATTATGCATTTAATATCTAGAAAACAATACTTTTTATTGAATACAGGGTGATAGACACATCAAATTCGTTTTTGATGCCCGAACAATTAAAGAAATATTCATTTTTCAGAATCACCCTATATTTTTCAATTCGGTCCGTCAAAATGTACGACCTATTTATTTTTGTAATAAGCTGTAAGCACCTAATACCTTCGTATAATTTCATAATTTTAGTATGATCCGTTTTTGAGATTCCAATATATAGTTAATCATTAAATATCAGACATATCCACTCATGAATGTAGGTATAATAATTCCCATTTGTGGGTACAAAAATCGGTTAAATAGGCGATAATTTTTTAGCAAATAAAAAATTCCAGTGTGCAAATATCCTGAGTTGTCTGATATTTAATTACAAAAATAAATACATTTTGACGGACCGAATTGAAAAATATAGGGTGATTCTGAAAAATGAATATTTCTTTAATTGTTCGGGCATCAAAAACGAATTTGATGTGTCTATCACCCTGTATTTAATAAAAAGTATTATTTTCTAGGTATTAAATGCATAATCAATATTAATAACAAATTGCCTAATATACAGAGTGTAATTTTTTTTTAAGAAACGTCTTTCTGTGGAATGAATTAACAATCACCCTGTATACATATAATGTAAAATGGGTTTATATAATGTCAGAACAGTAAACATTACGTAAGTTTTTATTTTTGACCATGTTTTCATTCCATATCAGAATCTCTCAGAATTTCAAAAATTCCCCCTGCTGTAACTGAGTACCACCCTGTATATGTTTACATATTGAACTATTTACGTGTATGTTTGTGTTAGACTAGGACATATTAATGCTACAATCAACTAAATATGCTTATATTTTTTTCTTTTTAGTTAAGTTACGTAGTTTCAAGAAATACGATTTCTCGACTTTAACACCCCGTTTTTTAAAAACTAGTCATAGGATTGAATTGGTCCCATGAACACTTTTGGTCAACAAGTCAAGTATAACATCATATTCAAAATTTATTGCATTTGACGGAACGCCACTTTGCCATTAGAAAAGGGTAGGGGCATTTTAGATTTCAATCAAATATAAAATTTTGATTTTCCTTTCCTTGTTTCATTGTTTATATTTCTTAAACCTGAGGCGATGATATAATTTGTAGATGTAATAAACTTCTTGAAATTATAAATTATAACGGCAAACCGGCAACGTTGTGCAGAGACTTTACCAACAATCCTCCTACCTGTGATGTGTTTAATTTGGTAAAATGTTTTTAAACGTTCTGAATATTATTGTAGAGGCAACACCTTCCAGAGCTTCAAATCTAACGTGGGAATATTATAATATTTATTTATTTTTAAATACGCTCAATTCAGTAACACAATTTTTTTGTTAAAGGCTTATAAGTTTATTATTCCAATTATATTCAACATGTTTTATAAAAAATACGTATTAATAAATGATTTATGAGTATATTAAAATATTTTTGTTCTGTTGTGCCAAAACTGTAAATACAAAAAATTTCAAATAAATAACACATTCTTATTTTAGCATAATAAATCATTTTACAAAATATAGTTAAAATCGCTCGAGCAGTTTTTTAGTTTTATATGTGGAAAAAAACAGTTTTTCTCTTTTTTTTCTCAAGAACCACTAGAACGATTTTGATTAAAATGTGGAATGATACTAGTCATTATCTTGAATCTATGAATTTTTTGAAAATTTTTAAATTTGTAGTTAATTTTTCCGGAGGTCCACTTAAATCTTGAATGAACATAGTACCCGCAGCCAAGGAAAACACATTTTTTTTGGAGCAAATGCAAAAAGAGGTCGATTTTTATTTCAAAAGGGACATCTTTCGATCATATCCTCAACTATCCTACATCCCTTCCCATCCCTCTATCCCTATTACCAATGAAATTGAAATAGGGAAAGTACTAAGTGTGACACATCATTGAAAAGGTAATTTTATAAGGAATTTGACTGTGTGACATGTGACAGTTCAAATAAGCGTATTGTCATGTGAAAGAGAAATTTAAAAATTTAATGCATTACCTTTGGAATAAAATTAAACTAACTACGCCTACCAGGTCTGTTTTTTAGTTTAGCGTCATTGATACTTCAAGTCTATTAACGAGTAAAACATAAAAATGGTTTATTCTATTCAGGAGAGAGTAGAAATTGTTGAATTTTATTTAAAAAATACCGAATGTGCTAACAATGCCTGTACAATTCTCAATGAGCGACAACCAAACAAACAGGTTAAACCTAAGTACGTTTTGGAACTTATTTCAAAATTTCGACAAACAGAATCTGTTCAAAATAAAAAACGGCAGATTCAAAATTCAGTTAGAAACAAAGCCGTAGAGGTAGCCGTTTTAGGACATGTTGTTGTAGATCCATCTCTTAGTACAAGAAAGCTTGCATAATTATCTGGAGTAAGTGATCGTACCGTCAGGAGAATTTTGAAAGCCAACAAATTCCATCCCTATAAAATTCATTTAGTTCAGAAACTTAACGAAGACGATTTTGTTCGCCCTTGCAATTTTGTGAAATCATGAGCGAGCATGCTATACAAGATCCACATTTTCTTTATAACATTTGTTTTTCAGATGAATGCAGTTTTTATGTTAACGGGACTGTCAATCGACATAATTGTCGATACTGCAGATTCCAATCCAAGAGTATTCCATGAAACGCATACTCATCACCCAGAAAAGTTAAACGTTTGGGCTGGAATATTTGGCGATCGTATTGTTGGTCCATTATTTTTACCAGGTACTTTAACTGGAGATACGTATTTGGAATTACTCGAAAACACCGTTGATCCACTGTTAACAGACATAATAGAAAACGATAACCGATACCTTGAAGATCACCTAATATTTCAACAGGACGGGGCTCCTCCACATTTTGCCGCAGCGGTTGGTGAGTACTTAAATGAAAACTTTCCTAGACATTGGATTGGATGAAGAGCATTTATTGAATGGCCCCCAGATCTCCTGATCTCTCCCCCTTAGATTACCTTTTATGGGGATTTGTGAAAAGTAAAATATACGCCACTCAGCCAGGTTCCTTAGAAGAGTTACGTGAAAGTATTATTACCGAATATCGCCAAATAACTCCAGAAATGCTCCAAAAGTCAGACAATGATTTGATAGAGACCGGTCCTGGTAAAATTATAGTATATCGTAAAATTTACCAGCTCTTAAACTTTTTTAAATAATTTAGTAAATAGTGCCTAGTTAATCAAAAGTAACTTATCGTGTGACATATAAGTGCATCATTATGCTGTAGTACTGTAAGTACAGTCTTTCTTCATAGTTCTACTGCAAAATTAAAGATTTTTATAAATCCAACGAGGCCCCAGTGTTATCAGTCCTACTAGTTTTTTTGTTGGAGCGTCCTTGCTTCAAGAGCGGTTGTGACCTGGCGGTCAGGGCCGGCGCGAGGACGATCTCTACTCGAAATAATGTCAACAGTTATGGAACACGAGACTGCTGACTACAGCAGCTCTCAAACTGCATTCCAAACCAATGTTTCCCAAAATATCGCCAAAACTTATTCGTCAGTCGTAACACAACAATTTCCATCAAAAGAACAAGCCATAATATCTAACTCTATCGAAAATGCCTCTCTTTAAGACTATCTAATACCATTAGGATCACTTATCCAGCCAAAAAATATATTGTTCTCCTCTCGAATGTCCAATCAAAGAATATGCATGTATCTTGCCAACAAAAGTGTAGTTAATACATTCATGACCAATTACGGACAAATTAAAATTAATGGCCAAACAGTAACAGCTCGTAGACTTATCACCCCCGCCGAACGTTTGGTTCTTTCCAATGTTTGTCCAACAATTCCCCACGATTTGATACTCCAGGAACTACAGAATATTGGCCTCAGCTTTGTATCACCTATGGTTTTCCTAAAAATTAATTCAACGTCACCGGAATTTAGTCATATTCTCAGTTTTAGAAGACAGATTTATGTTAATCCACCGAATTTTAATGTCCCAGAATCTATAATAATTAACCACGAGGATACGTCGTATAGAATATTTCTATCTTTAGATAACCTAACTTGCTGTAACTGTAAAAAAGCAGGACATAAGGCATCCAACTGCAGCGAACAAACGTTTAGTAATACTCCTACCTCTTCTCAACCACTCGCTAATCAAAACCCTATCTTGAATCAAATAGCCCCTCAAGAAGACAACGACCAGATCACTTTACGTCAGAATGAACCTACAACCAGCCAAATTTTAGCTCCAGACAACGAAAAACTAAACAGCAACTTACGAACAAATGTTACCTCAAATAAACGCTCTGCTTCCGCAATACTTACCTTTCCTCCACATCCTTCCGACGCTATATCAGATAACCTCTTCGTTACACCTCAAAATATAACTGTACCAAAGAAACTTAAGGCAATGACACCTAATAGCCAAATGCTCCAACCAGTTAAGCAATATATCGACGATCATAAGGAATTCATTCTTAATTTTAACCAACTTGCTAACCTACTCGATAATGTTCATGGTTCTCCAGACGCAATAATTGTAGTGAACGAATACACCACGGACTACCCAAGTCTAATCACTATGCTTGAATCTATTCATCCTTTATTACAAGACCGAACCATAAAAACAAGATGCACCAAACTAAAAAAGAAACGTATCGCCTGTCTCGGAAAAGAAGAAACAGAAAGCGACTGCTCCTCTCCGAACTGCTTTTAGACTTTTAAATTTAATTTATATAAATTTATTAACTTAGTTATGATTAAAAATATCCTCCAGTGGAACATTAATAGTTACTACCACCATATTGGCATGTTCCAGCTCTTACTTAAAGAAAATAACCCCGATGTGATATGCTTGCAAGAAACCAATTTGACACCCAATCATAGATGCAATGTAAAAAATTTTAACCTCTTTCGAAAAGATCGCATTAATCAAATCATCGCCAGTGGAGGGGTAGCGATTTTAACAAAACAATACCTTGAAGTAAAATCGTTGCCACTTCAAACCACCCTAGAAGCAGTAGCTGTTTCAATAAAGTTGTCTAACAATAATACGATAAATCTTTGTTACATTTACCTTCCACCAAATCAAAATGTAACCTCAAATGATTTAACAATCCTAATAAATCAAATACCTTCACCAAGAATTATTCTTGGTGATTTAAATGGACATAACATAATATGGGGCTCAGTTAAAACGGATGCAAGAGGAAAAATTATATGCGATATAGTTGACCATTATCAAATGTGCCTTTTAAATGATGGAACTCCTACAAGATTCAATACTGCCACAGGAAATTCATCCGCCATAGACCTCGCATGCGGTGATCCCAATCTTATGAGCAAAATTGCTGCGTGGGACGTACTCCCCCACACATACAGTAGTGACCACTTTCCAATTAAGATTTCATTTAGTGGAACACCAGACAATAAAATGTTTTGCCCAAAGTGGAAATTAAACTTAGCAGACTGGGATAAATTTACCTCCGAAATTGAAAGTAATATATCAAATTGTAAGCTTCATAATGATATAAATATTGGCTTACAAAATTTTACAAAGATGTTTATAAGCAGTGCGGAAATAGCAATTGGTAAAACTAAACATATTACCAGGCATTCTCCAGTACCATGGTGGAACCATCAATGTAAAGTAGCCATTACAGAGAGTAAGAAAGCCCTAAACAGATACAAGCGTTGTAAAACCATAGAAAATAAAATACATTTTAAGCGTCTAAAAGCTCAAGCTAACCTCACGATTAACACCGCTAAGACAAATTCTTGGAAACAGTACGTTTCCATCATAACAAGCTCCACCCCTGTCACAGAGATTTGGAAGAAGGTAAAAAAAATTTCATCATCACACACAGCTCACAATATAGCCCAATTAACCGTGAACAACCAAATGTTTACGGAAAGTGGAGACATAGCAGAAATCCTTGCCCAGACATACGAAAGGTATTCAAGTAATGACAATTACGATGCAAGCTTCCTTCAACATAAAACTCTTGAAGAACTACAAACAATAGACATCTTAAATAGCGATGAGCCAATTAATGTACCTATTAATATGAACGAACTCGAAGAAGCCCTCAGTAGTTTGAAAGATACCAGTCCCGGACCTGATGACATCCCTTCCATCTTTCTCAAGAATCTACCCAAAATAGCGAAAGATTTTCTTTTAAAACTATACAATCAGATCTGGCTCAAACAAACCTTTCCTTCTATCTGGTCACATGCCATAATAATCCCTATTCTTAAACCCAAAAAATCCCGATCAGACCCGGAATCATACAGACCAATTTCCCTCACATGTTCCACAAGTAAACTATTTGAAAAAATTATAAATAAAAGATTAATGTGGCACCTAGAAAAACACCACTATATCATAGATGAACGGAATGGCTTTAGAAAAAACAGATCAACACTTGACAACATCTTAGACATCAAAAGTGACATCCATGAAGCATTAGCCACAAAACAAATGTGTTATGCTATCTTTTTCGATATGAATAAAGCCTTCAACTCAGCCTGGAAACACTATATTTTAAAGAAAATTCAAACTTGGAACATTCAAGGCAATTGTCTCGCTTTTCTAAAAAAACTTCCTAAAAACATCCCTCTTTACCGTCAGAACAAACGGGACCACTTCCCAAATACACCCCCAAGAAAACGGCATTCCACAGGGATCCATAATAAGTCCAACCCTTTTTCTAGCAGCCCTAAACGATATCTTAAATGATTTACATAAACCTATAAAAGCCAGACTATATGCGGACGACTTGGTTGTCTATCTAAAAGGAAAATGTCTAACTTCAATGACAACTATTATTCAAACAGCCCTAAATAAGCTACAAGAATGGTCACTCACCACAGGATTTAAATTTTCCGTAGAAAAGACACAGTGCATAGTTTTCTCCAAGAAAGATTGCTCACCTCGCTCAAGCCTCATGTTATACAACAAACCCTTAAATCTCACATCTACGATCAAGTTTCTAGGCATGAAATTTGATAGTAAGCTAACATGGAAGCAACACATAAAACAATTAGCACTCTCCTGCAACAACAGAATTAACCTTTTAAAGACACTGGCACACAAAAGTTGGGACTCAGACCAAAACACATTATTATTACTATACAAAGCCATTGTAAGATCAAAAATAGACTATGGGTCAGTCGCCTATGCCTCCGCCAGTAAGACTACTCTGAAGCTACTAGACTCCATTCACAACTCAGCCTTAAGAATCGCCTTTGGAGCATACAGAACGACACCCGTGCAAAGCCTCTACAGTGAGACCGGAGAACCATGCCTACAACTAAGAAGAAAAACACTATCTTTCTCGCACGCCTCGTCAACGTCAGCAGCTAAAAACAAACCGGTATACTCAAACACTTTTAATAATAAATATCAAAATTATCTTAATAATAAACCTAGACTAGCAAAACCCTATTATGAGAGAATTCGGAAGTACCTGCAAGAATCTCAACTAACAATTACCGATGTACTATCAAATAAGGTAGAAATTTACCCTCCTTGGGCAATAAAAGTTCCTGAATGCAATACTACCTTCTCGCTGCAGAATAAAAGCAAAACACCTCATACACTACTAAAAGTTGCCTTCCGTGAAATCTTAGAGAATAAGTTCCATGACCAACAACAAATATATACGGATGCATCCAAAAATATACAGGGAGTTGGCTGTGCTGTAGTAACTGGCACCGATCATCTTCTCTTTAAACTTTCACCACAAAGCAGTATTTTCTTTAGCGAAATGTATGCCATATATCGCGCCATTAAGTATACCAACGAAGCCAATATCCCTACAGCTCTTATTATCACAGACTCACTAAGTTCCCTTCAATCACTACAACAAATCTACCCTAAAAAAACAATTGAACAACTTGTGAAAACAGAGCTCTATTTATCCCAACAGCAGAATAGGACCATCAAGTTTATGTGGGTACCGTCGCATATAGGAATCCCAGGCAACGAGGAAGCAGATAAATGTGCGCGTCAAGCTATTACTAGTGACAATTCTGAAACTTTTAACAAGACATCGCCCGAAGACCTAAAAAGTTTTTTTAAAACGGTAGTAGTGCGCGAGTGGCAAAACGAATGGCAAAGTGTAACGAATAATAAATTGCGCTTAGTGAAAAATAATGTGTTTCCACGTAAAAAAAGCGGGCTATCGAGGAAAAAACAAGTCATACTAAATCGCCTTCGCCTAGGTCACACCAAACTGACACACGAACACCTTTTAAAGAATATAGGCCCACCATTCTGCGATGTTTGCGATACACCCCTTACAATACAGCACATACTCATAGAGTGTACTAAATACACTTAGTCCAGGAATGCTTATAACCTTCCTGAAAACATAAGAACATTACTAGGTGAAGACTCCCACATAACGAAATTGTTCAAATACCTAAAAGACGCAAACCTTATCGACAAAATATAACACAAACTTTGTAAATCTAAACTGCTGTATTTATATTTATAATGTTTTCATTGTATGTATCCTGTCGCTGATAACCTTAGGGTGGATGCGACATTAAATTGTTGAATAAAAAAAAAAAATGATTTGATAATAATTTATATTCGTGTATAAAAGTTAATGGACAACACTTTGCATTTACTTTAAAGTAATTTAGTTTTTAATTATGGGAGTTGTCCTAAATTTTTCAATTTAATTTTTATGTTCACTTTTCTATTATTTTTTTAATTTTTATTATGAATTGTCTATTAAATGAGTTTTACTTTCAAATGAAGTATTAATATTTAAAATACGGAAACTTTTCCCGCAAGATGGCGCCAAAATCAAAAGTTACGTAATAAACTGTCACACAGTCAAATTTCTTATAAAATTACCTTTTCAATGATGTGTCACACTTAGTACTTTTTTCTATTTTAATTTCATTGGTAATAGTGACAGAGGGGTGGGGAGGGATATAGGATATGATCGAAAGATGTCCCATTTGAAATAAAAATCGACCTCTTTTTGCATTTTCTCCAAAAAAAATGTGTGTTCAAGATATGCGATCTGTTTCGTTTTTGGTGCATCATCCTGTATAACTAGTAAATAACGTGTCTTGAACAATACCCGTATCCTGCGTGACCAAATTAATGCTGCCAGTTGGCTAAATTTAAATTTATTGTTGTAGAATTCCTCAAAAAGTAAAACTATATTTTAAATCAAGCAAAACGAAAATGAAGTCTAAAAAAGCCTTTTGTGAAGAGTGTCACTTATACAGTATATAACACTAACTAATAATTTAAAAGGGCTGGATCTGTGTATATATTATACTTATTTATTTAAAATCTAAACTGTTGGTCCAGCTAAATATAACCTAACCTTACTTGTTAAATTCTTCATGCATGCTGTTGAATACAAGGCAGATGTAATAATATTACCTTAACCAGTGAAAATAATTAATAATAACCATTAAACAATAAAAACCAAACTGAATCACCAACAATAATAATTACACGAAATAAGTAGGTATACCTATAAAGGTAGGTAAAATAACATCCACTTTAATTATAATAAAATAGAGTATCGTAAAAACGAAATAAATTTCTAGTCGTGAATTACCTAAAAAGGACACGGATTTTAACGTACATTGCATACAACCTACTTAACAATCCTAATAACGTGAATTTAACCATTCTTTCAACTTTTTACACTAATAAATTTAGGTTTTAAAGCTTACTTACCTCCTTTTAATCCAAAATTATCAAATGAAACTCATGCACACCACACAAACAAAACGAAAACAAACTATAAAATGGCCGATAGCACCTGTGAGTGAAAAAATATCCGCGCCTGCGCTTGCGTTCATTTCGAATACTATTTATCCAGCGGATGTCTGTTGGCTATTGAATACAACTCACTAATTTTAAATTTCTATAAACCATATCTACATGCTTTCTTATTTATCACATGGCATAACATTTAAGTAATTTAATAATAATTAAATTAATTCTTATATTTTCCGATATTAAGGTAAATATTATATCCATAAATTACATCTAGTGGATATCCACCATGGTTTGTGTTCGCGCCTAGACTTTGATATATTTAGTAAATATCCATGGGATATTGAATACAACTTAAAAAAACATAATTTTAAATATCGAAACGGTAATATAAGCCACAATGGTGTAATTTTTTAATAATTTGTTATATAAATTACATCTAATGGATATGAAATAAATATCCACCATGGACTGGACATTCAAAGGATTTGGTGTGCTGTCTGAGTAGCAACTTTAAGTAAAGAAAAACTAAAAAATTGTTACTTACAATTTTATAAATAATTTCTTTGTGCTAATTTCTATACCATATTAGGAATTTCAGACATTGATCTGTAATAATGATACAATAAGATGCTACCTATGTTGATATCGTGAATTAGTGTACAGGAAATCCAACAAAATATATAGAATTCAGAACAGCGTGTTGGAAAACTTTAAAAGAGATTAGTTATTATAAAAATAAACTTTTTTAAGAACTATAATGGTTTTCTACATTCATAAATTTAGATAAACATAACCTCTTTCAATTAATTTCTAATTTGAAAATCGCAGTGTAAAGTGAATCTTTTGGTCCCTCTGCTATGTTTGGGCCTTGTTACGACCCCAGGGATATTTGATAGCCGGTATAAATCATTCATTTGGAATTGTGCAAAAAGTAAATTTGAAAAGTTCCTGAAGCCGCTTGTCTAATAAATGGTGAGAACGAGAATAATCCAGCGCATACACCAATTTGTATATAAATAGGCTGTGTTGTACAGGAAGTCAGTTCAGTTGAAGTCGAGTCATAGCAGTGATAACATCGATAAAGTAAATGTGATATAAATCGGTATAAGTGAATTGTAAAAATAAATTAGAAGTGTGAATCATAATAGTGCTTGAGTATTAAGTAAATTAATTAGTATGTTATAAATAAATTTTAAATATACTGTTTTAAATAAATAAACTATTTTTAAATTAAACAATAGTTTCAGTAGTTTGAACCTCAACCAAATGCTTTATGTGAAAAAGTTTTTATTAAATATATTTGTTGCCTTGATATGTTGATATAAAGGGTTTTTATATGCCCCTAATCATTGCCAACTTAGAAAGGGTAGTGAAATGTGTGCCTATTTATTTATTTTTAAATTGGTTAAGCAAAATAGCATTGAAACGGATTTGTTACAAGTGTTTGTATATGGATCATTAATTACAACAACGTCATATCTCAAAAAATGCAATTTAAAATGTATAATGACTAGGGCTTGGAAAATATGCACTTAAAAATGGTCTAAATATGTATGCATATATGCGTTAACAATAGACAAAATATGCTTTTAAATATGCAAAATAAAAAGAGTCATTTTTGATATTTTAATTTTATTATAGACTTTTTAAACATATGATTAGATGATTTTAGATTTCTATCAATTATATCTAATTAATTATTATTATTAGAATGAAAACAGCAAGTTATTAAATATTTTTCAATGTTTTCAATAGTGAAACATTGCCTTCTATAACTTAAAATATGTTTGTACGCCGAAAATGAACGTTCCAATTCACGAGACGTTATAGGTGCATATTTTAAAATTAAAAGTGGTGAAATGTTTGAATCCAATTCAATATTGAAGTTGCCAGATAAAACATTATTTATGCCCTCTAATGTCTGAAATCCTTTATTATTTAGTAAAACTGATGTACATTTTCGTGTAACATTATTTTCCATTAACACAGACTGTTCAATAAAAGATTTTAAATTTTTAACTGTTTACATGCTTTTAAATAATGCCATGTCTCTAGATTCAAGCTTAGTTATGGCTGTGGCTATGCATGTATAATTTGCTTGAATGTGGACAATATGGCTATAAACTATAGGATTCTTAAACATATTAATGCATTTTTTAATTACAATTGAGTCTTCTGGGTCAAAGTCGCAGATGACATCTTTAATTTCATTAAAATTTTTCGCAATCAAAATAACACAGTTTAACAAAGTGCCCCATCGTGTTAAAACTGGTTCTGGTGGCAATGGAATTCTTGGCAAACAATCCTTATAAAATTGAACCCGAAGAGGAGCTTTCAAAAAACCTTTTTAATATTTTTAATTGAAATATTTACGAGTGGAAATTCATTCCTAACCGTCTCAGCCACCCTATTTAAACCATGTGCTAAGCATGTGCAATGGATTAAATTCGGATAAAATAATTTTAAGTTTTCAGTTGCTTTTATCATGTTTGCAGCAGCATCACTAATCATTAATAAAATATTGTTTGAAGGCACTTGTCTAGGTAAATAAAAATTTGTTAACGAATCGTTAATAAATCTGGTTATCGTTAAATTATTTGTTTTGTCTAAACCTTTAACTGAAATTAAATATCCTTTACCAGGGATTTTTTCATCAAATGTGCCTATTATAAAATTTGCAATATAGTACCCCTGCGTATCAGTTTTAATTTCTTTCTTATAACTTTAATGCATTATCAAAATTAACTTGAATATATTTTTTGCGCAAAACGGAAGAACTGGGTGAATGTTCTTCCTTAAAACAAGTTTAAAAAAATTCTAAACAGAGGATTATCCAATTTGTGATTTGGAATAATACAAGATACAAATAAATTGCACAAATTTTTATTAAAATTGTCCTGATGATAAGAAGTGGTTCCTTGGTCTCTTATTAACTGTTAAATCAATCGGTCTGGAAGTTGTTTTCTGGATAAGTGACTTGTTGTTCCTAAATGTTAATCCACAAGAATTTTTTTTTAAATCCAAAAATAAGTGAATTTTTATATATAAAAATAAAATATGGATGATTTTCAAAAAATCTGGCTGGTAGGAAGAAGCTTTTGAGTAAAAATAAAAAAAGATTTCCTTATTTAAAAAAAAAGAACTATTATATTGTTATTTTTTTAAAAATTAGATGAAATCCAAATAAATAATTTAGTATAGCTCTTATATCATATTGTTACACAGACAGGTTATGTTATGTATGCGTGATCACTAAGTGTTTCGTCATTTGATACTTGCCAGTTTTGTATAATGATGTCCTTTGTTATTGTCATGTCTACCCAGCTCTTACCTCTGTCGTTTCTGAAAGTCGGTGGACTGTCGTGGTCGTTTTCAATTTTCAGTCCGTGTTGTGTTGTCCAGTCCATTGTTTCTTGTCCTCGTCTGTCTGTTTCGTTGCCTTCCCATGCCGAGTTTTTGGCGTTTAGGTCCCCCGCGATTATTAGTGGGTTTTTGATTTGTTGTATTTTTGTCTTGTGTTTGTTAAGTCTTTTTTCTGTGCCTCCGGGTTCGTCATAGATGTTTATTAGTGTGTATGTCTTTTTGTTTGTCTGTATGTTAATTGTTAATGTGTTTTTGTCCTTCATTTGTGTGTATACTAGTGTTTGTTGTATGTTACTTTTTATTAGGGTTACTACTTTTGCGTCTTTGTGTGGTCTTGTCATGTTGTACGTTGTAGGGGATGTCATGTTTAAGTAAGGTTCTTGGATAAATATTATGTCTATGTCCTATGTCCTGTTTTGTGGCGTGTTGTATTAGTTGATCAGTTGCTCTCTTACCTTTCCCTAAATTGATCTGGAGAACCTTCCACTTACTAAGTTCTTTAGTAAGCTATAGATCGCCGGGCTTCCTCCATTTTGCGCCTGTACAACGGACAGTTTGCATCCCGTGCCTCATGGTTACGCGGATTGAGGTTTAACCGTCCGCAGTTTATGCACTCCACTTTACCGGATTGGCATGTCGCGCCGCTATGCCTTTGCGCGCACTTGTAGCACACGTCACTTGTGTCGTTACACAATTTAGCTGAGTGCCCGAACCTACAGCATTTGAAGCACATCGAAACCGAGATGTGTTCCTCGACGTAGTACTTCATCAGATCCATGTAGATGAAGCCTTTGTTCAATATGTGTTTTATGATATCTGACGGTCCTGATACGATAATATTTTCTTTAAAGGCATTTCTGCAATTTCTTGCTCCTAGACGTTTTAAACTCTGTTTCCAATCTTTGTCCGAAGAGTTCGTCTAGGTCTTCGTTCTCCTGTTTTATGTTGCCCAGCAGTTCTTCTTCGGATTTTCCTTTTTGTACACCTGTAATTAGGATCATTGGTGATTGGGTTCGTGTTCCATCTTTTGCGGTGATTTTCTCAACCTTTTCCAATTTTGAAAGTAGGTGTTTTTGCTCCACCCTTGTTTTGGTGTTTATCACGACTGCAGTTTGTGTACGTCTGATCTGGAATTTTTCCACATCTTTGGAAGTGAGCACTTTTTTCAATTCCTTTATCGGGTCCCCGTTATCACCTTCCTTAATTTTTATGACTGTGTCATAGCTGACCGGTTTGGTTGCCACCGGTGATTTCCATTCGGCTGGTGGTTTCCTTTCTATTTGTGGCACGCTGTCCAGTTGGGCATACGACCTTTCTGTGGTCTTGGTGGGGTTCCGGAGTTAATGGGGCGCTTACATTGTCTTTTGGGTTTCGGGATTTTATTACCTCCAATTTTTCATTGATGTCCTGTGATAGTTTGTTGATTAATTTTTCTACCTCTATGTGGTGTTCAGGTTGCCTATTTTTTCCTTGGAGCTCCGTATAAAGTTCATTAATCTTTTTTTCTTGTATATACAAGAGTCCCAGCAATTTCTGAATGCTGCTGTTAATTTCGGACATGTTTGTTCGAACCTGCGTTTGTTCTGGTCGCGAGAAGGCCAGTTTTCTGTCGGCCGTTACTCTACTATAGTAGCGGTCTCGATGTTTTTGGAGGCGATTTGAATGGTTCTTATGATTTCGCTCACTTCTTCGCCTCGGTGATGTTCAACCCTTTTATGTTTAGGCCTGTCTTCGCGTTCTGATTCTTCGAATTCCATGTCGGTGGATTCCCTGTCTCCTCTCTTGTTTTTTACATAGCTATTGTCCGAGCCTGTGGGTGATCTGAGCAGGTTTTTTTGGGGTCTGAAAGAGCCGTCAAGATTTGCTCCGGTTGCGTCTGAATTCTCGTTTGTTTCCGACATTTTGAAAAGTATGTAGAATGGTCCGGATTAAAGTAAAAAGAGTAAGAAAAGAAAAGTTTGTGGAATGATCCAAGGTTATAAAAAAAGGCTGATTCCTGCGAGCAAGAATCAGCCTTATAAACTATTGCGGTGTTTTCGCCGCACCCGCTACGGAGCCCCGAGGAAGGACAGCGGATTTCACGACGGTCACTGCACTGGTTTTTTTTGTTCGAGTATTATTTGGTGGCAATTTTGTTATTTTAGAGTGTCAATTTTGTTTGACTAATATTTAGTTCAAAAGCAAATACTCACTTTTAGTCTGCGTGCGCACAAGGTCACTGCCGGGAACTGTTTGCGTCACTGCGCGCGATATAACAGCGTTTATACGTCGCCGCGCAGGTTTGGGGCCCACACCTGCCGTTGACGTTTATACACTACTAAATTCTCGCGCATGCGTGCCGAACTTTTTCGCGTTACCGGAGCGCTAGGGCTCTGCCTAACTAAACGAATTTAACCTCACTTTGTCGATAAAGTAATACACGTCTGCTCTGGCCGCGGTCCAAAGCTGAAGTAACAGGCAGACAGGCAGGCAGGCAGACAGGCAGACAGGCAGACAGGCAGACAGGCAGACAGGCAGACAGGCAGACAGGCAGACAGGCAGACAGGCAGACAGGCAGACAGGCAGACAGGCAGACAGGCAGACAGGCAGACAGGCAGACAGGCAGACAGGCAGACAGGCAGACAGGCAGACAGGCAGACAGGCAGACAGGCAGACAGGCAGACAGGCAGACAGGCAGACAGGCAGACAGGCAGACAGGCAGACAGGCAGACAGGCAGACAGGCAGACAGGCAGACAGGCAGACAGGCAGACAGGCAGACAGGCAGACAGGCAGACAGGCAGACAGGCAGACAGGCAGACAGGCAGACAGGCAGACAGGCAGACAGGCAGACAGGCAGACAGGCAGACAGGGCAGACAGGCAGACAGGCAGACAGGCAGACAGGCAGACAGGCAGACAGGCAGACAGGCAGACAGGCAGACAGGCAGACAGGCAGACAGGCAGACAGGCAGACAGGCAGACAGGCAGACAGGCAGACAGGCAGACAGGCAGACAGGCAGACAGGCAGACAGGCAGACAGGCAGACAGGCAGACAGGCAGACAGGCAGACAGGCAGACAGCAGACAGGCAGACAGGCAGACAGGCAGATAGGCAGACAGGCAGACAGGCAGACAGGCAGACAGGCAGACAGGCAGACAGGCAGACAGGCAGACAGGCAGACAGGCAGACAGGCAGGCAGACAGGCAGACAGGCAGACAGGCAGACAGGCAGAGCAGGCAGACAGGCAGACAGGCAGACAGGCAGACAGGCAGACAGGCAGACAGGCAGGCAGACAGGCAGACAGGCAGACAGGCAGACAGGCAGACAGGCAGACAGGCAGACAGGCAGACAGGCAGACAGGCAGACAGGCAGACAGGCAGACAGGCAGACAGGCAGACAGACAGGCAGACAGGCAGACAGGCAGACAGGCAGACAGGCAGACAGGCAGACAGGCAGACAGGCAGACAGGCAGACAGGCAGACAGGCAGACAGGCAGACAGGCAGACAGGCAGACAGGCAGACAGGCAGACAGGCAGACAGGCAGACAGGCAGACAGGCAGACAGGCAGACAGGCAGACAGGCAGACAGGCAGACAGGCAGACAGGCAGACAGGCAGACAGGCAGACAGGCAGACAGGCAGACAGGCAGACAGGCAGACAGGCAGACAGGCAGACAGGCAGACAGGCAGACAGGCAGACAGGCAGACAGGCAGACAGGCAGACAGGCAGACAGGCAGACAGGCAGACAGGCAGACAGGCAGACAGGCAGACAGGCAGACAGGCAGACAGGCAGACAGGCAGACAGGCAGACAGGCAGACAGGCAGACAGGCAGACAGGCAGACAGGCAGACAGGCAGACAGGCAGACAGGCAGACAGGCAGACAGGCAGACAGGCAGACAGGCAGACAGGCAGACAGGCAGACAGGCAGACAGGCAGACAGGCAGACAGGCAGACAGGCAGACAGGCAGACAGGCAGACAGGCAGACAGGCAGACAGGCAGACAGGCAGACAGGCAGACAGGCAGACAGGCAGACAGGCAGACAGGCAGACAGGCAGGCAGACAGGCAGACAGGCAGACAGGCAGACAGGCAGACAGGGCAGACAGGCAGACAGGCAGACAGGCAGACAGGCAGACAGGCAGACAGGCAGACAGGCAGACAGGCAGACAGGCAGACAGGCAGACAGGCAGACAGGCAGACAGGCAGACAGG